GTAAACTTTTGATCAATTTGATGCATCCTTGCTGAATAAATTATTTTTTTTTTAATTCTTACTGACCCCAAACTTATGAGTACTAACATGTATTACACCTATTTAGAAATATTATCTAAATTTATAAATATTTACCTTCATTTATAAGCAATACGTATTAATTAGCTTCATCAATTTTAATTAAAACAATGGATACAGTAGAGATACTGAATATTTTGGATTGATGACACAACAAATCATTGAATCTGAGTTTTAAATCAAATCACTAAAATAAGCAGTTTAAACTGATGTGCGTAAATAAATTAACTTACCAATTGTTACGCCATTTTTTTCTATTGATGTTTAAATTAAAGGCACTTTTGAACCATCTGTCTGAATGTCCTCATAAGTCACAAGGAAGGAGGGAAACTAGTCTGCAAACTAGTTTGCAAAATAAATAAAGTAGTGTAGTCTAGTGTAGTCTCAGGTCATTGACATTGACCTTTCAGGTGTCTAGGCAGCAGGCCAGAAAAGCCTCTTTGTCTAGTCAAGGTCCATAAAATGAACAAAAGCAGCCATAAGAAGCAGAACTCAGCATTTGACTGTCATGTCCTTGAGAGTGAGCTTGTTTCATAAATTCCTCCATTAGCTCCTGGGCTTGCCCTGCAGCAGGCTTTCTATCTCACCCATTAAAACCCATCGGGGGACAGGCCTGTAAACAGTCCGGCCCCACAACTTTGATAATGGCCGTGTCTGTGTCTGTATCCAATTGTGGTGGCCATCTCAGTCCTCTCCCCTCTCGACTGATGTCCCACTGTGGCTTATTACCAGCATGCAGTGATCTCGTTCTTGCTAGCAGCTAATGTCCTGCTGCTCACATTTATCCTGCTGTGAGTCTCCTAACCTCAAGCACGCAGACGAGCGATCCACATGCACATAGGCACGTACACATGCTCTGGTTCTCTCTCAAGGTCTGCAGCCATTTAGCCCATGGAGTGCAATGATCTTAGCAGGACGGCAGATGGAGGCTTGGGGGCATTCGGGGCAGGGAGCATAAAGGGAGAGGGGGGCTGCGGATGAAGCGTTTAGTGATGTATGAGTCAGGGATTTCCCTCAAATTCGTCATATCTTGGGCTTAAGTGAAATAAACACACCAGAGGCTGTTTTAAGGGGTTGCCCTCCATAAAAGTGTGTGTGTGGGGG